ATGTGCTCGTTCTGTGCCAGTTCCTACCACGCAACACACGTAAACATAATGTGTCTCGAAAAGAGCAGCGTACTGTTGGATAGGTTGTGGTACGGTGAACCATGTCCTGCTTGTCCTAATTAGAATTTTTCAAACACGCAAGATGAGGTGTGAAATAGCTGCTACGTCAGAAGAGCACAAGGAACTGATCTCAGCATTGGGAAGGAAATCGCTGAACTCGTTGCAGCTTAATGTATTACATGGTCACAATCCAAGTTCTGTTAAAGCATTTAAACTCGCTGGCATGAATGCTACGTAGTCCAGCGTAAAACGAATATTATTAGGTAAAAACAGCAATGACAACATGCAGGTTGGTCGATCTTCCAAACCTCACGAAACGCTGCAAGTCATGCGGAGCCATGCACAAATTGCGCGATCACCTCCGTTATTAGCTGGGCAACGACCTGGCTTCTAATGGTAGTGTCATGAACGGTGTTGCACATGAACAGTATTATTTTGGCCTTGGCCTGTCTTCAACATCTGACAAGATAATCACGCCCACACGACAAACCCCTGTTCGGAAGGAACCGCCGAGCAAACAGTTACTACGCAACCAAAAGGCGATGAGGTTGATATGTTCAAACGTCCCAGAACGCAGTAGCGAATCGCCAAAAGGTAGACAAGCCGAGGAGCAAAACCGCTAGGCTGAAGTAACCTGCGCGCTCGGACTGAAAGTTATCCCAACTAGTATTACAAGCATTTCACGAAATCCATCATCTCCACACCCAGGGGAAGCTCGGTTACTGCGATTAAGATTTGACAACACACGCGACCTGGAGGATGTTCTCTTAGCAAATCATATTCTAGTAAACTTGTCACTGCCCGCATTTCTCTGCACAGGCCATGGGCAGATAGACAGAAACAGAAATCCAACCCTATTGCGTCATGTCAAAATGAGATGAAGATAGTGGTACTGGTTCATGTGTGCCAAAAACGAAGCCTGGTGATAATAGTGAACGGAACAGCACGACATCAAACAATGGAAGTACACCACAGAGCTTTGTGACATGCAAAATATCGTGGCTTTTGATGTCATCCGTCTAATTGCCTCCACAAACTGCCAAGGCAGCGGGCCAAAAATGTTGAAAGTTACCTTGACTGCGCCCGAAATGGTATCAGTGGCAATCCAAGCGTGGCATGACAACCGGAAACTTGGGCCACCAGAATTATGATTAGGCCCATTCCTTCAATTAGTACAAACCCCAAATAACGATGAACCAGTAATGGTTGTACCTATCTCAGATCAGCCAACCGTACATACACCCGTTTCAAAAACTGCAGCAGCTCGGCATTAGTTGTGCCGGTCACTCACAGCGAACCGAGCTCCTAATACGTCAAGCAATACAATGCTGCTACACCAACTCTCAGGGGTTGTATTCTAAGCTTCCGGAACTGCGCCATCGACATGAAACAACAAATCGGGACCTCATAGCCCTTACTGAAACTTGGCTTTAATACGACATACTTGATCCGGAGATCGAACTCACTGAATTGTCAGTCAATCGGAATGATCGTCCAAAATTCAAAGGAGGTCAGCGCTCGGATCCTACAAAACACCGACCTATTACTCTACTGTTTTGCCAAAAATGATGAAATCGGTAAGCGTAGATGAACTGGCGCGGTACTTTGAAACTTTACCAATAATTTCCGATGCCCAACATGATTTCAGACGCAGACGATCTTGTCTCACCAAGTTGCGACTTACTCGGGATTTATGGACAGAAAAGGCTGATGAACGAGTCCAGATGAAGGTGATTCACTATGATGGTTCTAAGGCATTCGACAGCGTCAATCCTTTCCTCCGCCTCCAAAAGTTTGCTGCCTACTGTATCAAAGGTTCTCTGCTCACATGCCTGGAAAACTACTAACATGACGGAGCAATGAAGGTAAGAGTAGCCGACACACACTCCGAAATTCTGTGCGTCTCCAGCGGTGTATCGCAAGGATTCGTCCTCTGTCCGCTATTGTTTCTAATCTACATCAACGACTTTCCAGCAAACATTCTACTCCCGATGCCAATATTCGAAGACGAGGCCAAAATATGGAGAGCAACTAGCTCAGCATCCGACCCCTTCTATCTTCAGGACGGTCTGGCTCGGATTAACGAATTGGCAGAAGAAGCTAGCTCCCACCGAACTCTGCAAAGTGCCAGTGGTTGACGGTGAGTAGTAGCTCCGTTAACACTTATCTTAGGGGGCAACACGTCCAGCAAAACGTGAATATGAACGCTACTTGGGTGTCATTGTACAATAAAGTCTTGGCGATTCTTTCCACTGTTCGAAAGCAGCAAACGTGGCGAACTTGGACCAGAGGCTTTTGAGACGAGCTCTGAGCACCTTTGAGCAAGGGCTAGTACCAATGCTGAGTAACGTCGATATCCGTCCTCACGTTGAATATGCGATTCAGTGCTGATGTTCATGGTTAAAAGGAGACATTCGCCGAATGGAAAACCCTAAAGAAGTGCCACAAAGGCGAGGTGTGGACTATCCTGTCGGAGTTACGTACTGTGTCTTCGTATACTCCGTGTGTTTTCCTCTGAATACCGACGGCTTTGCGGGGATCTCATTCTCACATATCGTATACTAACTGAGTGGGAGCACCCATGTAAATCACTACTGGCCCTAGCTTCTTACGAAAAATGCCGAGGCAAGCACTTGAAACTAATGACGCAACACTCCAGTTTGAACTGTAGAATGCATTTCTACTCACATAGAATCTATTCACACTGAAATGAAATACGAACGCATGGGGTGAACGCACCAGATATTATGATAGTTGATAGAATATTAGACTTTCATATTAATGCTAAACGCTTCAGTATAGCTTAAAAAGTGCAAAGGCTCAACAATTGATAACTCATGTTTCGGCTTGGAAAATTGTTAGCTTTAAAGTCGATTTCTTTTCCATCCTGTGGGTATTGGGAAGTTATGCATTTTAGAACATCAAACAATATTAAACCCTATATATATATATATATTTGTACACATGCAAAAAGGTGCGATTGGCACCCAAATACAGCGTGCTTGGGTTTGTCTGTGAAGGAGTGCAGTCTGGCTCCGTTGATGAAACGTGGCTCTCATCCACATGCCTCCCGGTACTTATTCCTTCGGGTTTACACTGGATATGGGGTGTGTGGTTGGAGCTGTAGCTGGTGCAGCGCGGACCACCTATGATCCGTGAGTAGGCGCAGGCGTCCTTTGGCAAGCCACAGTGACAGGCAACTCCGAAACCGGATGCCGCCAACCATATATGTCTGGAAAGGCAATTTGTCTGGTAGGCGTGAGCACTGAACGGACTGAGCTGGAGATGTAAGCGGGGTATTGCGATTATGAAATAGGTACTCATTAGTACCCATTCACTCTTAGCCGATGGGTATTAGAGCTATAAGGTGGGAATCCTACAGACGAAAATAAACAGAGTTCCCTCTAGCTTGCCGACATGACGGCATAAGTTTATTTCTCAGGAGCTTCTAATGAGAAGAGGTTGATTGACGTAGTGTAGGTCAAAAGATTAAAAATGAACACTGAAAGAATTTTATTGTTTGGCTGGAAAAGTTCATTGGAAATATCCATGTCAGACTGGCAAAGAAAAGGCTGACAGCCAACCGATTATTTCCAGTCTCGAAAGTTTACTTCTCTAGAGGAGACGCTCCTCCTTTTGCTTCCCTCAACAAACAGAGATGTATTTTGCAAGACGCTACTTCACTTGTCTTGGGGAAACCCCATTTGATCTCTTACATTCTGCGTGGGAGAAGAATTCTGACACGCGAATAATTTTTCTCGTTGCCATTCAACTTCTAATTTTTAGTACCAGCAGTCTCGACCTGAATGCCGAATGACGTTGCGGCAAGCCCTGCTCACTTTGACCGTTTGTATTCTACCTGAGGTGAAGACTTTACCGGCGCTCCTCTGCTATGTCGCATTGCATGTTCTGCTCATACTTAATCCACTCACTTGTTTAAGAACACAACAGTTGAACTGCCAGCCGCTACGCAGTAAGACGTAACTTCAAGAAGATTTAGTGTTAGACGCATGTGTGAGATGAGAGGTTGTCACCCTCATGCGAATCGTGCATCGTGCTGTGCACAAGCAGTGAAGAACACGTCTATAAATTGTGTTTAGAGATCGCTCGACTGCGTGTGTATTTCATCATAACAGTGTGATGAACCAGCTACGTTGCGCGGATCTCTCTGCATCATGCGTGTTCGGATGTCATGACCGAGTGATGTATATCGGAATGATAGATCAAGATCTTTACAGACGAGAAGAGCCGCCTCGCGCGCTGTGCGAGTATGATTCGACGAAGATGCGTGCGCTTGATTCACGCGAGATCTAATAGCAGGTCTAACGCTGTCGCGACACTGAGTGAGAAGAGCTTCAACATAGCTAGTCGTAGGTGGCGGTAGGATGAGCGTAGGAGGGAAGTTCCATCATCGCCAGCTGGTGTCGAATGTAAGAAGTTGTTATAAGCGAGAAATAAACCGCAAGTGAGGCGTGCAGAGCAGATATGAGTGCGTGTAGGTCGCGTGAATAGAGAGCATACATTCGTTGAGTAGTGTCATATTGTTGTTGTGCTCGGATTACATAGCTGGGCTGTTCTATGTGCTCTATCAACCTCGCATCGACCATGCTCGGTTGGGATGATGTGTAACCAGCTGGGTGAGAGGTGGATACCAATCCTAGGAGGCGTGGTGTGTCGCGTGTGTGCTTTCAGCTTCTCTAGATCGAGCGACATGATGTAACGCGCCGATGTGGCCGAGCGAGGCCCCCCCGGTTTTTTCCTACTAGATTAGGATATAGGCAGGGTGACGAAGTAGAGATGTGTGAACAATCAGTGGAGTGGGGGGAGTGGGGGTGTGACCGACAGTTTGGAGGGTCGCGTTGGGGGTTTATTGGGGCAATATAAGGGGGTCTGGGGTTGCGGATCTGGGGTTTTATTGGTTGATTCTGGGGTGCGAGAGG